ACAGATGGTCTGAATTTACTACCACTCAACCCCAGGGGCCACCTAAATCTCCTTAGCATCATCAAAGCCAAACCCACAGTTACAAATCCCCTGGCAGATACTGCCAGTCCTTTCTGGAAAGAGCTGGGTATAAATTATAGATCACAGCTTCTTGAGTCAGCTGTGATTCTGGATCTTGCCCACATACACACTGGGATTTGGGCTGGCTTCTCGTTGGAGTGCTGTTCACGGCCTCGGGGGTCTCTACTCCCCTTCACTCCCTACTCCTGCTCCAGATTTCCTTCCCAAAGATCAAATGCTCCTTGCCCTGGAAGAACTCGCAAACAGTGTCTTCCCATTGGACCCTACGGCTCAAAAACCCCACACCTGAGCCCCAGCTTCAGCTCCACCAAGTACCACCACTGTATCTGCCTCTGTCCTTGGGCAAAGATTCCCTACCAGGAAATCCAGGAAGAGAAGCAGATCTCTTGATGGCATTCTGTCTTTAAGACTAGGAGACTGCCAAGAGGCCAGTTCTCTGAAGGATCTTACCTGCCTGTTGGATTCAAGGAGGCTCCTTGACTTCCATCCTGTGGATGCCACCCACCCTTCCCACACACACTAAAGTCATTCTTCCAAAACCATATGAGGCAATGGGATCCCTTTCCATTTCCCAAGACTGCCTCCAGAAACCCACCTCGGAAGAAGAGCTTTGGCCCATGCTGTCACCTTTAGTTTTGTCTTGTGACAACTTGTGCTTCCCCTCTAAGCTCTTTTCCTCATCAGGAAATGAACTCATAGTGAATTAAGAACAAAGTTGCTGTCAACATCCACATCACCCATGCTGTTGTAAGAGCTAAAGGAGATGATGCACCAAAATGCTTAGCACAGGCCTGACAAGTTAGTGTCAATCACATGTCAGCTAGGTGATGCAGACCTGGGCTTCCCAGGATACAAAACCTAAGGTTCTGACAATGAAGGCTTCCTTTGTTTTGGTACCTTGGACACCTTGATCTCTTCAGTCCAACTCACAGAATGTGTGCAGGGACCTTGAGAGACACAGAGCTGTAAGAAGGCCTGAATCACCTGACATTGGCCTTAGCCAAGAATGAAGAGCAGAGCTCAGCCTGTAGGAATCACAGTTCCTGGCATCAGCAATATTTCTATGACTTCTCTAAGACTGTGTTCTCATCTTAAAGTCTCATGAGTTTTGGAGCTGGAGAGATGGCTCAGTGGTTAAGAGCACTGCCTGCTCTTCCAAAGGTCCTGAGTTCAATTCCCAGCAACCACATGGTGGCTCACAACCATCTGTAATGAGGTCTGTTGCCCTCTTCTGGCCTGCAGGCATACACACAGAATACTGTATACATAATAAATAAATAAATGTTTAAAAAAAAAAAGTCTCATGAGTTTGATCCCTTCTCATTATCTTCATCACAGAATTGTATGGAACCAAATAAGATACCAGAGGGAAAGACTTTGTAGCCCGCAGTGGGATGGACCGCTCAAAAGACGATGTTTACAAGAATGGTCGCTAACCATGAGTCCACTCACTATAGCCCAGCCTTCTTCCTAGCAAGTTCAAAGACATTCTAACTATTCAAAGTCTCTATTAAAAATAGCCAGATACTACTCAATTATTTTACTTCATATCTTTTTTTTAAGTAAATAAAGTAAAATTATTCAGCACAGGAGCTGATGATGAAGTGCTCGATGGTAGGACCCATTCATCTTTCCTCCAATTTAGGTTTTTTAACCACTACAAATCACGACTTTCATTGAATTAAATTGTAGGGAAAATTAGGAAACAGCTCAGATTTTAATCAATGTTTGCCTTGACCATGAAAAAAGAGGCTCCTCTTTTGCCTGTCTCTAATCAGGAGTGTTAATTATCTTGGTTACATGCTAGCAAATTAATTATGAGCTAATGAAGTTAAAGGAGGTCATTTGTTAAGGGAAACTGATCACATATTGTTAACTCTGAGGGATTAAATGGAAAATCACTGTTAGAAAAATGGTTTTTAAAATTAGACCGAATATTTGATTTGTGAAGTTGCCCAGAGGACAGGATGCATAACAAAGTACCTTTCCACCATTCTGCAGAAGGCAGAGGGTGTTACTCTGAGCACCATTTACACCTGTGGAGTTGTTAGGGTTGATAGTAACTCTAGAAGTTTCCTTTCTTGATATGTATTTGAGTTGTTGGAAGGGAGTTGGGGAAGTTTAGTTGAGTGCATGATAAGACTGAGGAGATAGATCAGCCAATAAAGTGTTTATCTTGAAAGCATAAAGTCCTGAGTTCAATTCCCCAGAACCCACATGAAAAAGCTGGGTACAGTGGCAGGTACTCATGATCTCAGCACTGAGGACACGGAGACAAACATTCCTGGGGCTCACTGGCTGACCAGTCTAGTCAAATCAGCAATCCCCAAGCCAATGAGAAGGTCTGTCTCAATGACCTAAGCAAGGAAGATGCCATCCTAAAGAATGACATCCCAGACTGATCTCTTCTTCCACATGCACATGAATACATGTACAAGTATACCTAAAAAACACACAAGCACATATATATGTTCGCACACATATATGGTAGGAGAGTCTTTGGAAAGTGTGTGCAGACAGCAAGTTATCTTGGGGGGGGGGGATGGAACGCAAATACCCTAATAACAAACACAAATACCCTAAAAACACAAATACACTGTAGTCTCCAGCCCAGTCCCAAGGCAGTGCTGTATTCCCCAGTCATGAACTCACTGTGGTGAACGGAAACTGCCACACTGGCTCAGGCTTCCAAAACCTGAATGAAGCACAAGATTCCTGATTTAGCCAATAGCTGGTTAATATTTGGGCACACAAGCCAAAAGAGCTGAGCAGCGTCTCTCCATGTCTGCCTATTGTGATGAGCCATGTCTATGATGCAGGAAGCGAGGAGCAGACCGAGCTCTCTGGTGTGACATGTGTCCAAGGATTTGAATGTCCTGCAGAGGGTGATGAAAACTGCTGCTTGCCTCTTGCATTAGTTACTTGTCTCACTACTGTGACCAAATACCTGGCAAGAAGCAACTTAAGGGAAGAAGATTTATTTAAAATCATGTTTTGAGGGCACAGTACATCATGCCAAGGAAGGCATGGATGAAAGATTGTCTCTCACCTGTAATGATGGGAGTAAGCAGATTCTTGCTCATATCTGGGCAAATTAAGCAAAGACCAGTCAGCAAGTGGGGCCAGGCTATAACCCTCAAAGCCCGTCCTCAGTGATAAACTTTCCTCCAATGAGGTTCCACCTCTTAAGGGTCCACGAGCTCCCAAAACAGCAGCTAGGAACCAAGTGTTCAGACGCATGGAACCTATAAGGGGCATTTCACATTCAAACCAGAACATCTGCCAGTGTTCCTTTTACCTGTTCTTAGTAGAATCCCCAGTTCAGTCACCCAATTAGAAAACTCAGATGCCCACCTTACACCTGAGTAATGAAATCTCAGTCAGGGAAATGTGAGCAGAGAGAGGTAGCTGGTTATAATTTCTGAAGAAAACAGTTGATTTATTTTTTTCTTTTCTCTACCCCTTTTCATCACAAGGTTGAAGACATAATGGCTGAAACTTCAATGCTGAACAAGTTGAGGAAGAGGCAACCTTGAAGATGAAAGCCCCTTACTCACCAATGGTAGCAGTACAGAAAAAGCAGAAGCCTGGGCTCCTAGATGCTTCAGAGTCCTGGGAAAACCCTGCACCTTCTTAGATGTAGGTGCATTGCTACATGGGAGGAAATATACCTGATGTGATACATTAGCATCATGGTTCTTATTAGATGATGTGGTGAGGTTCTTTGTTCTGCACTGAATTCTTTCTGCAAGTCACACAATGAGGAACCAACCGAGTATGAACAGCAACATCTACAAAGCTTTGATTCTTCAAATGGAACAAGAAACAACCACTTATAAGGGGAAACTCTTGTGAAGGGAATAGAGTAAACATTTTCATTAGAGGAGAACAGAAAAGAAAGGACCAAAACAAGACCAAAAGCTGAACATGGTAGACAGTAAACCCTGTAACTCCGTGTCTAGCATCCAGGGCACAAGACGGTGTGATGTGCATTCTAGTGAGCTTGGTAACCCCATCCCTACAGCTCTGCCACCTGCAGCACAAGGGCTTCCTCTTCGGCTTGTTTCACTCAGGGCTTGAAGTTTTTCTCAGAAGACACCCCACATTCCTAGAATCGCTAATATCCCAAGGTTTCCGCTTTAAGATTCACCTACAGCCTACTGAGGAGCTCCATGTAGGAAATCTGTTCCTACTATATGTTGCCTAGCCCGAGTGGCTTCTTCCTGGAACCTGTTTCTTTCTGCAGGGCTCTATGACCCCACCACATCTGTACTCTGCACACCTGTAAACCCAGTCAGTGTCATGTGGGTGATGCCAAGTTCTGCTGCCAGCTCAAGTAGTAGCTGAACCCCCTTGAACCATGGCTGCAGTAGCCTCTGAGTGCCTGTGTACTGAAGCTGGGAAAACACTTACCTAGGTTACCCTATTCCCATGTTCTAGTGCAAAGAGTTTGCTTTCTCTTTAATGGTTTGTCTGCACCCACCTTGCCACTAATTTAAGCATACACATGCCCCTTTACACACCAAAATCCACATTTTTCATCTCTCTCTGCTGTGTGCTTTTTGCTCTGGATACTCAGTGAAACTCTGACTACAAGCAACAAGAAGCAACCATGCCACCACCCAGCTGTTTTTCTGTCTTAAAATTTCTTCTGCCAAATAAGTTAGTTCTTTTTTTTTTATTAACCCTTTTCCAAACTTTATTCCCAGGCTTCTTCAGCTTAATTTGCTGCAAAGAATGAATTGTGTTTAAGCAAAAACTAAAAAGAGCTGCAGTGTCCAAGGGGCTTGGGCTTAAAAATATTAGCGATCTAGATTTGATCAGATCCATAAACAAAAGACCTTTAAAAAGCAGCCATGATATAAAATAGCAGCTCCTGTAACTTCTGCAAGAGTCACTTCTTCAGAAGTCCCCTCCGTTCAGTTTGCCTCGTTCTTAGAAGCCTCATCAAAATTCTCCACCAGGTCTGGGACTTCATCATCATCATCCTCTCCAGTAGCAAGGGGTGCTTTTCCATCCACAGATTGTTTGGGCAGAGCTTCAGCCAATCTCCTTAAACTAGTCGGACTGTCTGCCCCAAGCTGGTTTAGAATGCTGGGAAGCATTTCTGTCAGTTGCTTTGTCTCGGCGTGGCCTGTAATGGTGAAGGTGTTTGCTGCCAGAGACACCTGAACTTTAGGGTTGTTAAAATGGATCACTGTTCCTTGGTTTGTAAACATGTTCACCTCTTGAATACCAGAGATATTGTTCACCCCTAACTTCTTTAAGGAGAACTGCAGTTTTTTATCATCTGCTGTGGCTGTTCTGTGAACCACCTTCTTCTTTCTGCGAGCAGTTCCTTTCCCACCAATGCGCACTTGTGCCTGCAGCTTGGCCAGTTTTTCCTGGTTCATGATCGTTTCTTTCATCTTGTCAGAGTGGAAATGGGGCCACGCGGGGGACTAGGGTTGGCGCTCCAATAAGTTAGTTCTTTATTTTTAAACTTGTCCTCACTCAGATTTTCAATACAGGAGTAAAACATAGTCAAGTTATTTGACAAAATGTAAAACATAAATGGCCTCTAGTCAGTTCCCACTGAGTCTTTGTTTCTCTCTGAAACCACATGAGCATAGGCTTTGCTATCTACATCTCCACTGCATCCCACCTTTAAATCATTCTCTAGCCTGCCACTCCAAACTCTTCCACAGTCGGTTTCTGAATGCCATGGCCCTATGATCAGATAGACCAGACAACAACCCCGCTTTCTGGCATTAGCTACTTTTCTCATGGCTGTCACAAACATACATAAGAAAAACAACCTAAGGATGGAAGGATTTAGATTGGCTCACAGTTCCCGGGGTATCAGTTCATGGCAGTGAAGACATAGTCGCTGAAGTGACTCCATCTTGTGGTTGTGGAAACCTGAAGCGTGGCTACATCACATAAATAAGGAAGCAGAAAGAATAGAACTGGAAATAGGACTAAACTTCAGCCCTCAAAGGCCTATCACCTTAGTCAACCAGGGCCCACCATCTTCCAAAATAACATCACCAGTTGGGGCCTGGTTATTCAAACACATAGGTCTGGGGGGTACACTTCACAGCCAAACCATAATATGCATCTTTATCCAGCTTGGATGTATCCAGCTATCATTGTGGTATTCTGCTACCAAGACCTGTAAAATTGCCCCTATGACTCTGTTAGGCCAGAAACGACTGTCAGGAGCACCCTGTTGTGGAATATTATTTTAACTGGGCAAATACGTGCTACATTTGTTTGTGCTGCGGAATATTTCTTTAACTGTGTAAATGTGTGTCACTTTTGTTTATGCTGCATTTGTTTAATTATGTGATGATTTGTTGCATTTGTTTCACCTTGACTGCCTAAGGCACCTGGTTGGTCTAATAAAGAGCTAAACAGCCAATAGCAAGGCAGAGAAAGGATAGGCAGGACTGGTGAGCAGAAAGAATAAACAGGAGAAAAAAATCTAGGCTCTAGAGAAGAAATGAGAGATGGAGGAGGAAAAAATGAGGGGCAGTCCTGGGTCCAGAAGCCAAGCAGCCTGCAGGCCAGCAGACATGAGAAACAGTGAAAGTAAGATACATAGGAGGAAAGAAAAGTAAAAAGCCCTGAGGCAAAAGGCAGATAAAGAGAAACAAGTTAATTTAAATTAAAAGAGCTAGCCAGAAAAGAGCTAAGCTAAGGTCAAGCATTCAAAACTAAGTCTCTGTGTCATGATATGGGAGCTGGTTGGTGGACCTAAAAAAAAAAAGCCCGATACAGCATCCTTTATGCACCGTGGTAAACACAGGCTAGGAAAGCTTCTATCCATTTTTCTTAGAGCTATAGGAGAGGCCTCAGTGATGACCTCACTCCTTCAGGTCACATCAAGGAGAAACTGGGAGGCAAGAGGGGCAGAGATGTTCAGATTTTAACCTAACAGGGTCAGGGGCCCACCAAGATTCCTCTGATCCCTCCTAACCTATCCTGATCCCAGGATGGATTAATGAAAACTCTTAGTCATGGAAGCCTTGTTAATTAAGGGTCAGAACTCTTTCCATGACATCTCTTCATAGCACACAAGCATTACCTCAGCCATATTCTAGAAAGTCCGTCCACTAAAATACGCACATATAAATCAGATTTGCTAGTAACCAAATATGTTAAGCAAAAGGAAACAGATAAAATTGATTTTAATATTTTACTTAATTATATGTTTTCAAAATTATAATTACTCTGTTTATTGTTAATGTCAGAGAGCATGGGTGTACAGGAGGGCAGGTAGGTTCCCACAGAGTCAACAGAGGGCGTCAGATTCTCTGGATCTGGAGTCGCAGGTGGTTGTGAGCCACCAAATGTGGGTGCTTGGAACTAAATCGGGTTCTCTGGAAGAGCAGGATGGCTTTTTACCCACTGCACTATCTCCCCAGACACATCCTCTGTCTGTCTTAAAAATTGGGGGTGTCATCTTACACCTGTCAGAATGGCTAAAATAAAAAACACCAATGATAGCCTTTGCTGGAGAGGATGTGGAGAAAGGGGTACAGTCATCCATTGCTGGTGGGAATGCAATCTTGTGCAACCACTTTGGAAAGCAGTGTGGTGGTTTCTCAGGAAATTCGGGATCAACCTACCCCTGGACCCAGCAATACCACTCTTGGGAATATACCCAAGAGACGCCCTATCATACAACAAAAGTATATGCTCAACTATGTTCATAGCAGCATTGTTTGTAATAGCCAGAACCTGAAAACAACCAAGAAGCCCTTCAATGGAAGAATGGATGAAGAAAGTATGGAATATATACATATTAGAGTACTACTCAGCAGTAAAAAACAATGACTTCTTGAATTTTGCATACAAATGGACAGAAATAGAAAACACTATCCTGAGTGAGGTAAGCCAGACCCAAAAAGAGGAACATGGGATGTACTCACTCATTTTGGTTTCTAGCCATAAATAAAGGACATTGAGCCTATAATTCGTGATCCTAGAGAAGCTAAATAAGAAGGTGAACCCAAAGAAAAACATATAAGCATCCTCCTGAATATTAACCTTCATCAGACGGTGAAAGGAGACAGAGACAGAGACCCACATTGGAGCACCTGACTGAAATCTCAAGGTCCAAAACAGGAGCAGATGGAGAGAGAGCACGAGCAAGGAACTCAGGACCGCGAGGGGTGCACCCACACACTGAGACAATGGGAATGTTCTATCGGGAACTCACCAAGGCCAGCTGGCCCGGGTCTGAAAAATCATGGGATAAAACCGGACTGGCTGAACATATCGGACAATGAGGACTACTGAGAACTCAAGAACAAATGGCAATGGGTTTTTGATCCTACTGCACGTACTGGCTTTGTGGAAACCTAGGCAGTTTGGATGCTCACCTTACTAGACCTGGATGGAGGTGGGTGGTCCTTGGACTTCCCACAGGGCAGGGAACCCTGATTGCTCTTTGGGCAGACGAGGGAGGGGGACTTGATCAGGGGGAGGGGGAGGGAAATGGGAGGTGGTGGCGGGGAGGAGGCAGAAATCATAAATAAATAAATAAATAAATAAATAAATAAATAAATGAAACAAAAAAAATTGGGGGTATCTACTTTGGCCTTCTTCTCACCAAGTCTATTAAATACATTAGTTCTTCGTTAAAGATGAAATCCCTTGCCTGCGCCTTTTTCTGTGTGTGTGTTGCTTTGTGTTAATCTGAACTGTTTTTAAACAGTCTACTATGCCAGCCTTGCTATTTATAGCATCTGAATTTTTTGACTTGCTGAAGGAGGTGTGTACTCCCCCAAGAAGACAAAAATATCTGCTTGTATTTTGTACAAAGATTATTCTATTCTAGTTCTTATTTGTTTAGCACTGTGTTCCATCTGGAATGCATCTCTGCTCAGCGTAATTTTTATACTTACAAGAGTGTGATGCTAACCCTGATGCCTAGCTGAAGAGAACGGAGCTCTCCAAGGGGACTGGAAATGATGAAGGAGAATTTTCCAGAAAGGACCAGAATTTATTCGTTGGGTGGGAAATGCAGAAGTACCAGGGGGAAAGTGCTTTACTGGATAAGCAGGGCAGCCAGAAGTGACAGCAAGACAAAGACCAAGAGCAAAGGCTAAGACTCACCCTCCTGCAGGAACTTAATCAGAGAAATATTTTTCTCATCACTTGGAACCTTAGTTTATTACCAGTAAAATGGGGATCTTAATAACACATGGCATTGTAGTTGGGTCTTAACAGCCTCTTATGTCTCCATATCCTGCTCTCTGAAGGGTTTGCCCCGCTGGGACTGCTGTGGTGATTGCTTAAGTCAATATTCAGGCGCTGACAACCATGGCTGAGGAGAGCACCTCTCCTGGTTTTGAGGTGCTGAGCTGACAGCTCTAACCTGGAATCATCCTGATTCCTGAAGTCAAATGCCACCTGAAGCTACAGTGAAGGCTTCACGAAGTCAGGCATCTACTCATCCAGCATAGGAAGGGAGCCCTGGTGGGACAAAGCTGCTTTAGGAAGGCAGAATTCTTACTAGAGTAGTCAGGGCCTAGGCTCTGGAATCCCTAGCAGGCTAGTCTGTTCATCTGTCTTAAACGGGTCAATTTTAAAAGCAAACTAAAAACACAAACAGACAAACAAAAACAAATATTGAAAAGCAAAAAGTGGAAAGATGGAAAGGAACTGGGAAGAGTAGAGGGAGGAAAAAAAATGTAATCAGGATATAGAAAAGAAATCTATTTTCGGGGTCCGTGCTCCTGGGTCGGCTGCTGGGTGTGATTGTCGCTGAGCCGGAGCTATGTTTCCCAACCAGTATGACAATGATGTCACCGTTTGGAGCCCTCAGGGCAGGATTCATCAGATTGAATATGCAATGGAAGCTGTTAAACAGGGTTCTGCCACAGTTGGTCTAAAGTCAAAAACACATGCAGTGTTGGTTGCGTTGAAGAGGGCACAGTCAGAACTTGCAGCTCACCAGAAGAAAATTCTCCATGTTGATAACCATATTGGTATCTCGATTGCTGGTCTGACTGCTGATGCTCGACTGTTATGTAATTTTATGCGCCAGGAGTGTTTGGATTCCAGATGTGTATTTGACAGACCACTTCCGGTGTCTCGCCTTGTGTCTCTAATTGGAAGCAAGACCCAGATCCCAACACAGCGATATGGCCGGAGACCATATGGTGTCGGATTGCTTATTGCTGGTTATGATGATATGGGCCCTCACATTTTCCAAACTTGTCCATCCGCCAACTATTTTGACTGCAGAGCCATGTCTATTGGAGCCCGTTCTCAATCAGCTCGTACTTACCTGGAGAGACATATGTCTGAATTTATGGAGTGCAATTTGGATGAGCTGGTTAAACATGGTCTGCGTGCCTTAAGAGAAACACTCCCTGCAGAGCAGGACCTGACCACAAAGAATGTTTCCATTGGA